TTGGATTTCATTCCTGGATTAGAAGTCCCCAGACGTAGGTGTTGTTATTCACCAAACTAGGTTAACAATTCTATGTGTTGTTTACTTTATGCAATTTATATTCTATTCTTTATTGTCATTGTGTTTGAAGCAAAATAAGTGTCTCGACATCTCTTAGGACATCTGATATCTGCTACCAACTTTTAATATCCTTCGATTGTTGCTTTACTATTTTCACCCAAGGCTCCACCATAAATTAAGATTCTGTTTAGAGACCCATTTATGTACCTTAAAATCCACTTCAATGCTTTCCAGTGAGCCTTTCCAGGATTCACCATGTACCTGCTTACAAGACTTACTGCATATGCTATGTCGAGTCTAGTATATACCATAACATACATAAAAGAACCCACTATATTAGCATATGGAATGCTATTCATATAAGCTCTTTCGACATCAGTACTGGGACACTGATCTATATTCAACTTGAATTAAGGGTTTGTCGGAGTCACAACAGGCTTTGAGTTCGACATACCAAAATTTTCGAGAATCTTTCGTAGGTATGCCTGTTGAGTTAAGCATAATTTCGACTACTTTCTATCTTTTTGGATGTCAATCCAAAGAATCCTGGATGCAGCTCCCAAATCCTTCATGTCGAACTCCTTATTGAGTTCAGCCTTCACCCTCATTACATCTTCAAAATTGTTACTTGCTATTAGAATATCATCTACATAAAGCAACAAAATAACAAATGAATTACTAGGTCGAAATCGGAAGTAAACATAGTGGTCGAACTAAGTTTTAATGAAACTTATACATTTTATGAACTTGTCGAATCTCCTATTCCACTATCGAGGAGATTGTTTCAGTCTATATAAGGATCTCTTCAGCTTGCACACATAATCTTCCTTCCCCTTTTCGACATACATTTCAGGTTGCCTCATCAAGATTGTTTCATCTTAATCACCATACAAGAATTTAGTCTTCACATCTACCTATTCCAGTTCAAGTTCAAACTGTGTCATCGTGGCAAGCAACATTCGAATGGATCTATGCTTCACAACAGGAGAGAACACATCATTGAAGTCGACACCTTCTTTCTGAGTGAAACCCATAACGACCAATCTTGCCTTGTATTTTTTCGACGTCACTTCTTTGATTCTTTCATTAACTTTAAAAATCCATTTACAACTGACTAACCTGGCTCCAGCAGGTTTCTTGATCAGTACCCAATTGTTGTCATCATTAAGAGATTTCATCTCATCATCCATGGCCTTCAGCCATTCAGTGTTCTTTTGACTCCTCATAACTTCCTTATAGTCTCTAGATTCTTCGTCAAGAACCTCACTTGTAGAGATTAAGGCATAAGCTATAAGATCTGCATACCCAAGTCTCTGAGGTGGCTTGATGACTCTCCTCGACTTGTCTCTTGCTAGCAGGTAGTCATTATCAGTTTTCTCATCTTCGACAACAGCTTCTGCTTCTGTTTCTTCTTCGACTTCATCTGGGGTACGTAATTCAGCATCAACATGCTCCACCTTAACAAGAATCTCTCCCTATTCCAGCTCTTCGTCAACATTATCAATTTTCTTGAAAGCCATATCTGCTTCGTTGAAAACTACATCTCAACTGATGATACACCTCATGTGACTTGGCTCTAGGCACCATAGCCTATAAGCTTTGACTCCTTCAGAGTATCCCATGAACATGCATTTTAGGGCTCTAGGTTTGACCTTGTCTTGCATAATGTGAGCATAGGCCACACAGCCAAATACTCTCAGTTTATCTAGACTAGGTGGATGTCCCGACCAAATTTCTTCATGTGTCTTAATATTTAACGTAGTCGAAGGACATCTGTTTATCAGATATGTTGCTGTCGAAACAGCCTCAGTCCAAAACACCTTATTTAACCCAACACTAGTTAACATGCATCTAACTCTTTCTAAAATAGTTCGATTAAACCTTTCTTCCAAACCATTTTTTTGTGGAGTCCCTGCAGTAGTTTTGTGCCTTGTAATACTTGAGGCAACATGAAAACTGTCGAACGCCTCATTGTAAAACTCAAGGCCATTTTCGGTTCTCAACCTCTTGACCTTTCTGCCAGTTTGATTTTTGACCAGAGTCTTCCAACCTTTGAAATTCTCAAAAGGTTCATCCTTAGTCTTCTTGATGAATACCCATAACTTCCTAGACTAATCATCAACTATGGATAGAAAATACCTTGCTCCTAAATGTGATGGACACCTTGCAGGCCTCCAAAGACCAACATGGATGTAATCAAGGGATCCATGAGTTCTTTGTTTGCCTTTGTTGAACTTCACTCTACAAGATTTTCCAAGTACACAGGGTTCACAAAATTTCAGCTTTTTGACTTTGTCTCCTTCAAGCAGATTTTGTTTCCCTAATTTGACGAAACCCTTTTCACTGACATGGCCCAATCTCATGTTCCAAATTTCTATTTTCGACAACGGTTTTGTGGATGCAACATTTGTCAAGCCACTTACAACTTCAACCTCAAGGTTATACAAGCCTTGTTTCTTCACGTCTCTCAAGACTTCCTTCGACCCCTTCATGACTCTTAAGATACTTTTTTCTCCTTAAAGAAAATATCCCTTCCTGTCGAATTCACCAAGAGAAATCAAATTTCTCTTCAAATCAGGTACATACCTGACTTCAATCAATAACCTTATTGACTCATCATAGAGCTTGAATCTCACATATCCAATACTTGCAATTTTGCAAGATTTGTTATTTCCTAGCAACACTGATCCACCCTCTTGATCACATAGCTCCCCGAACAATTTTTTGTTTGGAGTCATGTGCCAAGTGCAACCTGAATCCATAATCCACTATTTTCTTAAGTCGTCGCTTGAAACCACAAGAAAGTCAAATAATTCGAAGTCATCTTGAACAATGGTTGCATTACCATTATCTTTACCTCCACGATCTTTCAAACATTCAGAGAACACTTTTCTTGTGTGGCCCTCCTTCTTATAGTGATAACATTGAATACTAGATGCCTCACCACTATAAGACTTCTGCTGACTTTTACCTTTCTTCTTGTCGAACTTACCATCCGTTCGCAAGAATTTTTCCTTAACGACCAAAACTTCACCAACCGTCGAAGGTTTATGCTCCTTTCGTTCGTTCAAGTCCTTAGAATATAAGGCTGATTGAACTTATTCAAAGCTCAGGGGATCCCTTCCATACAAGAGAGTTTCTTTGAAGTGAGCATGCGTTATGGGTAAAGCACACAACAGCAACAGTGCTTGATCTTCATCATCGATCTTCACATCAATATTTTCAAGATCGAGAATCAGCTTGTTAAACATATCCAACTGCTCAGCCAATACTTTTTCTTCACTCATCTTTAATGAATACAAAGCTTGCTTCAGGTAGAGTCGTTTCACTAGAGATTAGGTAATGTATAAACTTTCAAGTTTCAACCATAACCCCGATGTTGTAGTCTCCTTTGATACCTGTCAAAAAACCTTATCACCAAGGCTCAACAATATTGCGCTGTGGGATTTTTCTATCATGGCCGTCTTTTCTTTTTCTGTTAACGACGTGTCCATGACTGCCTCTCTGTTCAACGCTTCCAAACAACCCTGTTGAACCAGTAGGACTTTCATCTTTAAGCGCCACAAACCGAAATTGTTCACTCCGGTGAACTTTTCAATCTCATACTTTGTTGAAGGCATCTTTCTCCACGCTCACCGCACCAATTTGTTGTGAATTAGGATGTCTTAAAATAAAATATACTCGGCTTCTTTATGATCAAGAAACACACAAGGGTTAGGGTTAAGGAAAAACAAGAAGAACAATAAGGATTGATTATAACTGATATTTTTTTTAATTTCTCTATAAAACAGGTTACAAGTACCCAAGAATAACAAAGAACCCTCTCACCCTAATTAGATTTTATTACACCACACATAAGATGAGAGACCAGTATGTTATTTATAATCAAACTTAACATACTAAATTATTGAGCTTTTTAACAATTATCCATTACAAGCTAACTTAAGGTACAAACTAACTTAAACAATTTGATCCTTAAAACAAGTCCCAATTCAACAACTACATACTAGAATACAATTTGACTACAGCATGCAGGTCTTTGACAACAACATGTAAGCAAACTTCGACGACATGCTAACTAAAGTTCGATCCAATATTTCAATATATATATATATATATATATATATATATATATATATATATATATATATATATATATATATATATATATATATATATATATATATATATATATATATATATATATATATATATATATATATGACCTATTTTTATATTAAAAATAAAATATTTAAAAAGACCTAAACTTTAAAAGAAAAAAGACACGTCAAAAAAATTTATCATTTTTTTTGATATTTTTGATATATAATGTAAAATTATTGTCATAAAATATATTATATTTTATAATGGTGAATATTAAAATTCTTTAAGCACATAGTAATTAAACATTTTAATATGCATTTAAATTTGTACATTTGATTCGTATTTTGTTTCTTCCTCTGACCCTCAACCCTAAAGGTGACAATAATGAATTTTAGAAGCCAATTCCAATAAGTGCTCAACGTCTCCCTAGTCCAAGATAAAAAAAGAATTTAGAAGAAAGCCAAAATATCTTTCTAAACATGTGATTGTAAATGTTTCTCAAAAACCAATCATAAAACTACATCATATCAAGTAAACAAGACATTTCTATTTCCACGGGTCAGACTAATTCCGTTTCAAACACACCAACATCCAGAAGAAGATTTGTCAAAAAAAAAACACTTTTAGAAGAAAGAATAGCAAATCTCATGATAAGTCAAAATCAAAGACTACAATTAACAGCTGAACAACTTAGATTATTATAATCACAAAACCAACCCAAACTCCTATTTATAAAGCCATATGCAACATTCAATCATAGAATCAATATCACCATCTTGACAATCAAACACTGGCTGTGATCCTTCTCAGTTGCCCGCAGAAGATATCTATTCCAAATGTATTACACAATCCTTGCAATTATTTTCCTTATAACACTAAAATTTCTATTAATCACAACAAAAAGATTCAAAAACCTTCCACCAGGTCCACTGAGTATTCCCATAATTGGCAACATTTACCAACTCAAACACCCACTTCACCGCACTCTCCACAATCTCTCCCTAAAATACGGTCAAGTTTTTTCCCTACGCTTCGGCTCTCGTTTAGTCGTAGTTGTTTCATCACCTTCCGTCGTACACGAATGTTTCACCAAAAACGACACCGTTTTAGCAAACCGTCCGCCTCTTCTCGCCGGCAAACACTTAGCCTACAACTACACCGCCGTTACCGTGGCACCTTACGGCGATCACTGGCGTAATGTCCGCCGTATAATCTCCCTCGAGATACTCTCAACTCACCGTTTAAATTCCTTCTTAGGAATCAGAAAAGATGAAATCAAGAAACTCATGAGAAACCTGGCTCGTGATTCTGGAGATAGTTTTGCAAAAGTGGAATTGAAGTCAAAGTTTTCGGAGATGACTTTTAACATGATAATGAGAATGATATCTGGAAAGAGGTATTATGGAGAGGATTGTGATGTAGGTGATGAGGAAGAAGCGAAGAGATTTAGGGAGGTGATTACGGAGTTTATATCGGTGGGAGGATCGAGTAATCCTAGTGAATTTGTTTGGATTTTTAGGTTGTTAGATTTTGGTGGTTATGAGAAGAGGTTGAAGAGAATTAGTAGAAGATTTGATGGGTTCTTGCAAGGACTAGTTGATGAACATCGAAGAAAAAAGGAGAATGGGAATACCATGATTGATCATCTCTTGAACTTGCAAGAATCGCAGCCGGAGTATTATACCGATCAAATCATCAAAGGCATTGTTCTGGTAAGTTACCTTCTTTATATTTGAATCATTAGTTATTTATGTGAAAATTAAATGAAAAGTTGAATTATTAGTTGATTATTATGGCGATATGAACAAATGTCTGATACATGCAATTGTCTTGTTATATTGATATGAACAAATGTATATTCGTTGTCTGATACATCTAATTATCTGAGACGGCAGTGATAGATGTGATTACGTTTAATTAATTAATTTTTTTTTATGGTGTATGGTGTAGTGTATTAATAAACCGATTTTGTTTTACATTGACAGGTTATGATCCTTGGAGGAACAGAAACATCAGCTACAACTTTAGAATGGGCAATGTCTGCATTACTAAATCATCCAGAAGTGTTGAAGAAGGCAAAAGATGAAATTGATACCAACATAGGACAAGATCGTTTAGTAGAAGAGTCTGACATTTCAAAACTCCCTTACCTTCAAAACATAATCCACGAGACGTTTCGGTTGCATCCCGCATTTGCATTATTGGCACCCCATTTTTCTTCAAAAGATTGCATCATAGGAGGTTATAATGTTCCAAAGGGTACTATTTTGTTGGTTAACGCTTGGGCAATTCATAGAGATTCTCAACTATGGTGCGATCCAATGCAATTCAAGCCAGAGAGATTTGAGAAAGAAGGGGAAGTTGATAAGTTGATACCATTTGGATTGGGGAGAAGGGCTTGTCCTGGAGAAAACTTGGGTCAGCGTACAGTAAGTTTAACATTGGCTTTATGTATTCAATGTTTTGATTGGAAAAGAATAAGTGTGAAAGAAATTGATATGACTGAAGGAAAAGGGGCCACTACACCGAAGCTAGTTCCCTTAGAAGCCATGTGTAAAGCTCGTTTAAATGTCATCAAGAAGCTTAAGTGACTATATAAAGATATATATATGTATGGTAAAATGCAATGTTTTTCTTCCACCTTAAACGTAATTTGTGTTTAAATTAAGGATATTAAATTACAATTTGAGTAATGGATGAGACAGAGTTGAACAGACACAAGACATAGTTGTGTCCCCCTGATATTGTGTAATGCCGGTCTCTTTTTGTATACCTAAAAAATTATTTGTAAAAGAAATATACTAACAAATAATATTTTTAATATTTTGTTTTCTTTTAACCATCTTAACTAGAGAGTGGTATCAAAATTGATTGTATGGAAGAGAAGAATTCTAAGTTAACCAATAGAATGACATTAACCAGTGTTATCCTTACCGTTTTCCTTTTTATAGCATGGTGTGAGATATTGGATCGAACTTTAGAATTACCGAAGTATGTTCGCGAGTAATGCGTGTTGTAGTCGAAGTTTGTTCTAACATGCATTAGTCAATATTGCTAGGTTTGTTAGCATGTTGAATTGGGTCTTCCTTGTAAGCTCAATTGTTTAAGTTAGCTTGTACCCTAAGTTAGCCTATAATGACTAATTGTTAAAAAACCCATTAGGTTAGTATGTTAGTTCTCTTATAAATAACATGCTAGTCTCTCAACTTACATAAGGAAAAATAGGAGGATAAAATCCTAATTCAAGAGAGAGAGAGATTATTTGTTATTCTTGTATACTTGTAATCTTGTTTGAAAGAGAAAGAAAAGAATAATAGTTTATAACCAATTCTTGTTGTTTTTCCTTATTTTCTTTGTTAACTCTAACCCTTGTGTGTTTCTTGATCATATAGAAACTATTTATATTTTGTTCCAAGGCATTCTATTCCAAAAAATTGGTGCGGTGAGTATGGAGAAGATGCCTTCAATAAAGTATGAGATTGAAAAGTTCACCGGAGCGGACGACTTTGGTCTGTGGCGCTTGAAGATGAAAGCCTTATTGGTTTAGCAAGGTTGTTTGGAAGCGTTGAAGGGAGAGGCATCCATGGACGTTGTCTAAAAGACCCACCTTTACTAGGAGTGTTCTTCAACTAGAACCCTAGGATAAAGTTTGTCAACTCTATGTAAGAATCATGATGATGATTACTTACTCCCCCTTGGCTTTTGTCAAAGTCAATCCCCTTAAGTGTACACCTTAGAATAGAGAGTTTTGTGAAACTCTATACAAACATTGTTGTGTTTGTCCCCCCCTTTGAACTTTGGTCATAATCAAGTGTTCATTCATCCCTAGTGAGGTAAACTACGATTGCTCTGATTCTGTCCTAGTTAGGATACGTAGGCAAAAGATGCAATATCTTTGCGAGAAAACTTAGAAACTATCAACCTTAGGTCTTTACCTTCAAAACCCAAACCCTAATCTCAAAACACAAACCATAGCAAGTTTATCACACACACACACACACAGAAAAGGTTGTTGTAGAATACTAGATGTTTAGGATGTGAAATACCTACCCTAGGCATAACCAACCCCCGATCCCCGAATCTCTTAGCGTTGTTGTCACATCACGCAAACAATCTTTCTTTCTTTAACCTTTCCTTTGGATAAATCAAAGTTCGGTTGTGAATTTAATGAATTAAGATTCAAGTTAATAAATAGTTTGACATCCGATTCTCACCGCAACAGAAATGGCGACTTCACTGGGGAATGCTTAAAACTCGAGGGTTTAGCCTATTTTGTGTGATTGTATGAATAATTGCTTAGATGTATATTTGTAAATATATTTGTATTGTATTACTGTGAACATAGGGTATCATGAGTGGTGAGATAAGTCCTAACCCGGACTTGAGTGACACATATGATAGGATGTGATATGATCAATAGTTTACTATTGGGAGTAGTCCTAACAAGTTTGACATATGATGTAATCACGCTTAGTTGAGACCTCCTTGGGATGATTGATGATGTATGAGTAGTCATACATTTCATTAATTGTTTCAACCTGAGAGTCCATGAAACTGAGGACCTTTAGTAACACTGTTACCCCACTAAGCCTTTTTAGGACGTAGTTCGGAAACTATGAGGGAGTAGTCCCGAAATAGTTGTCACGCGATGCTACACTCTAACGAGTTTATCCAGAGAATATTTTTGACCCACGTGAGTAGTCATAATGGCCGATAATATCCAAAGGATTTACTATGACTCTGGGAATTTTGATAGAATCTGTTCGGCAGGTACAGTCAACCTATAGTACAAGTCCTTGGGGATGGGTAGACCTTGTGACCCCATGCTTTGACCTTGAACTTAGGGAAACCCCGTGTGTGCATGTGCATTGTATGTGTGAATACTTGTCTATGTGTTATGTGTGCATCATCTCATCATGTCATCATAACATATCATGTTGCAACTGGTTTTGTAAAACTCAGTCGACTTCTTTGTGTGAAACCCTAGATATCATGGATATTGGGACAAGAAACACCAAGAAATACAATTTCAAGAAGCCTGATACATCCAAGTTGAGAAAACTAGGGACTATGATATCAGAAGACTTTGGGAAAAGATATGGGAAGATAACGAGTATGGTCAAGACTAGGATGGAAGAAGGAGTTCTCAACACTTTGGTTCAATTTTATGACCCATTGTATCACTGTTTTACCTTCCCCAACTATCAGTTGATGCCAACCTTGGATGAATATATTTAATATATGGGAGTTCCTGTAAAGGACTATTGAAAACAGGGATAGAGTATCGGGGTTTGTTATCGTCCTCAGGGAATATGTGATATTACCGCCGTTCGACAGTTGCTAAGTTCTTAACTAATAGTAACAAGGGGGGTTTTGGTTTTTGGTTACGGTAGCTTGCATAAAAAGTAAGAAATTGCGGTAAAAGTTTTGGTTTTACGATTTGAGAAAGATTGTCAAAGTTAGGGTTCGACGATCACTTTGCATGCATATGTTCGATCAAACAAACCTCATAAACTCCATTAGATGATAAACACATTCACAATATCCTCCCAATGTGATTATTTCTAACACACATTGTGGGGTTTTCCCATTTTGATCCATTGTTGATTTCTCATACAATCTATCAAAATGACAACTTTGGGTTTTACATTTTAGTGAACAAACACATTCAAAACTATCTCTAGCTCAAGAACATAGATGGACGAAAACCTAGGTAAAGAGTTGGAAAACACCTTTCAATAATAAACCAACACAAAGAGTTATCAATAAAACAAGGCTTTCACCATACATTCATCATCAAAGAGTTTACAAATGAAGATCAATCCATATACACACAAAGTTTATGATCATCTACATCTAACCTTGACAAAATGAGGGATTTAGCCACTCATTTCCATGATAGCTTGCACAATAAGTTTCGGGGGAAGGTTGATCAACATCCGAGTCGAAGAATCGAGATTGGATGGGAATCCATCTTCTTTTTGGAAAATATTTTCAAGAGATGAAGAATAATGAGAGAATGGGTTTCTAGGGCACAAAAATCACTTCTAAAGCAAAAACAAAAGAAAAAGATATTTTTACAAAAAGCAGCCCATGCTACTTATAGGAAAAGTTCTGAGTCGTCATGCTCGCTAGGCGAGCAGAATGGTTCGCCTAGCGAGCCCCAAAATGCTACACCATAAGAGCCTGTGTCCTGAGGAATCAAACCAGACGAGTTTTCAGATGTTCGCTAGGCGAACATTCCTTCGCTAGGCGAGTCCTTCGCTGCTTCACTCGCTCCAGCAAATTTTGGTCCCTTTTGCCACTGGAAGTGTTCGCTGGCAGCTCGCCTAGCGAACAGTTCGCTACCTCACTCGCCAGTGCTTCGCCTAAAGAGCTTTCTTTTGTTTGTTTTCTTTCTTGATTCCTTTGTCATCTTTCTTGTGTCTTCAATTTCTACTCTTTCATGCCTAATTACTTCACAATAACACACAAATTAAAGGTACCATGATCATTTCATATAATATTGCAAATCAACAAAAGCAAGGGCGGTTTTGAACACTTTCTCGACAAAAAGAAGTGAAATATGCCCACATTTGATAGCTCAAATAAGCAAAATTGGGCATCTAACAACTCTCCTCAACTAGATTCTTGCTTGCCCTCAAGCAAAGTATGCCTCTTGAAAAATAAGAGGATTTGCTTAAAGAAAAAGATTTCTCCGAAATCAGATCAAATGTCTCAAACACAAGAGAATCAACCAGACACAAGTTCCCAATGGTTAGAATGACACAATACACAAGAACTAAAGCCTTATAGCAATGCAAAACATGTATCAATCCACAACAATGTTATCCTGAATGAATCACCCTATCTCTCCTCTTCGAATAAGGATTGAAGAAATTACGCGTTTGAAACCGCGGGGACAATTTCACTCTCCAACAAACAATGCAAAAATCAAATCAATTCATACAATGTCTAATCAATTATAAATGAAAATACGGAAGCACGAAGATCACTAAGGTCTTTTCCGGTTGTATCTTGGTCAGGTTTACAAACAAGGGACATATCTAAGGGCATTGAAAACGAAATTGTCGATGCAAAAGAGACATTCACTGTACAACTATTCATACATCTCAACTCCGTTCTACTTGTTTCTCATTTGAAACCTTCACAACTCTTATTTCACAACTCAATTTGTTTTCCAATATTTTTCTTCCAAGCAAGCATTCATTTCCATTCTCTTTTTTTTTTATTTTCTTCTTTTTCACACCATATTCATAAAATAATTGTTTCTATTTTCTTTTTTCAATGCTTGCTCGGTTATTCCAGAGTTGTGGTAACCTACCGATTTTCATTTTCGTTCTCCCCAACTTATCTTTTACTCACCCCATAAGTGAATGCTCTTGACTTTTTACGGCAAAAGAACAATTAACAAAAATTTTCAGGGTTTCAAGAAAAAAAGATTTTGAAGTCTCGCCTTACTTCAAGCTGAGATTCAACTGTTTAAGCTCAAAGGGATTCACGAATACTCTCTGCTCACGGGTAGTTTGTATTTGGAACTGGTTGTGCTCAAAAGAAACAAGTGTCTTGATCACTTCTAATTGCTTCCACA